CACATACAACGAAAAATAAATATATGAACATATTTTTTGTTTATTACCTGTACCATCACAAATTATAATATTCTCATAAGGAACCAAAAAAAAAAATTCAAAAAATAATTCTCGTCATTAATGGGTTAAAAGGAGCTTCAATAATTTTATGCTAATTAGGCTAAGTTTCTTCGTTTGATAGTGAAGGAACTGAACAGTTGCAATAAGTATAGTATAGTATAGTATAGTATTATAGTATAGTATAGTATAGTATAGTATTTTCGGCATTAAATAAATAGGCCTGGATAGGCCTGTCGCCGATTCTTGTACTTTTCTTGACTAGACTGGCCTTACGGACGTCACNTGTCACCTTTTTTGAACAGGGGTGTCACTTGGGCTTCTTTCCAGTCGGCCGCCAAAGTCCCTTCGATTAAGGTTTTTCGAAAGAATACTGTTAAAGGGCCGGCCTGGACGGTTGCTAATTCGTTGAGCAATCTAGGGTGGAAAGTGGAAACCGTCTGATCCAGATGACTTGTTGGGATTCAGGGAGACCAGGCGCTTGAGAACCCAGGCGCTTGAGAATTATTGATTATATCTGAAAAAAAAACACGAAAAATGAATACATAAAGTAACATAATGCAACTTTGGCAAGGATCTGATAAATATCACAGAATCTCAAAAATACACTAGAAAATACACAAAAAGCTTATGAACAAGGAACACTTAACAGGTAAAGCGGACAGAGTAAAAGTGGCCGGCGGAGACAGTCAGTAAATTGTTTACTCTAGTAAGTGTTGCCGTATGGGCATTTGGAACTACAAAATCTCTAAATTAACGAGCTGCGGCTACAATATGTAAATGTAGTCACAGTGTCACATCGTACTGCAATTGCTCTTTATACCACAACTTCCCACGCCGATTACTGCTTTGGCAAGTGGTTTACTAAATTTACAGCGCAAGTCTTCCGTAGGCTATAGTATAAAATAGCTAAGCTAAGATTACGCTGCCGTTGCTATGCTGCGGCTGCTACCGCTACCGGTACAGCAATAGGCAATAGCGAGTTTTATTTAGCGACTAGCGAAGGCCGTTCTGGATACAAGACACTTTGGTCTTGTATCCAGGAATTGATACATGTATGAAGAAGTCATACATTGTTACAAATATAAAGCTAATAAAATGTGAAAAATATTGCATAAATTAATTTCAGTCATGAAACGAAAATAATAGCAAAAACCATGTAGATGTAATCATGTTCACCTCCTGGAGAAAAACGCGCCCTGTCTCACGGCCGGTCTCACGGCCGTGACTCAAGAAATTCATCGTACATGGAATATCTTCCAAACTACTGAACCGATTTAAATGAAACTTGGTATATAGATTCCAGACCACCAATAGGTGCTGTCTATCCCGTGTGAATTTTCGCGATTTCGCCCGCGTTCTCGAATCTCGATTTATATAGTAATACGGGCAAAAATACGCATCGTACATGGAATATCTTCCAAACTACTGAACCGATTTCTGTGAAACATGATATATAGATTCCTGATCACCTAAAGATGATGTCTAGCCTGTGTGAATTTTCGCGATTTCGCTCGCGTTCTCGATTTATACGGTAATACGGAGGTCTCGGTCAAATTTACGGCCGGAAAGGTTTTCTTAGTGTTTTTATGCGCTTTCTCCGTTTTTTTTTTGTGTTTTTATTGGAACCTGTTCCTAACTGGACGTCTGGACTTAACCTGCAAGGTTTTCGTTTATCGGCTAGGTTTTTTTAATAAACACTTCTCCAATTAGAAATTGCGGTGGAATGAATAACAATACAAAAAGTCGGAAGAGTTTAAGTTCTTCCATTCCGCATTTTTTGCGCTTGCCGCCTTTTTCAATTTTATTGGACCAGTTGCTTTGCTTATACTCAGAATAACTTAGGTATAATTAGCTCTTATAATCTCATCCGCAGGATCTGTAAGTTTAATTATTGGCGAATAAAGGTGATACAAGTTAACGACTCCTATCAACTTCCTCGCCTTTATCTTCTACCCGTCTACAAGCCCGAAAATTTCTACTGGTGAAATTCAAGGATGGATTCAGTCGTTGCAATGGATATTGATGAACTTCAAAACAAAGCAGAAAAATCTTCAAACTCGAAATCTACTCACGTACCTTGGTAGGCCTAATTTTGAAACCTCGACTTACTTGTGTCTTTGAGATATATTTGTCACTGTTAATGACTGTATATCTATAGCAAACAGGTTGAACATATTTAAGCAGGTAGCACTGGTAAATGGTAATGAAGACTTGCAGTCAATGCAGTGTTTGCAAGCTTGGTGCTGTGCCATATATGGCAAGTACCTAAAGTGCCATAGCTAAACAGCCTCTTTACTAGTTAATAGTTATGAATGTTCTTAAATAGTAAAATAATTTTTACCTGCATGCTTTTTGGAATTAAATAATTTTATTGATGGATTGAATCAATGTCTGCCATATTTCTTTCCAGGATTGAGAAGTACAGACCTAAAGTTTTCACTGATATAATGGGTAATGAAGAAACAATCAGCAGACTGGAAGTATTTGCACAGCATGGAAATGTTCCAAACATCATCATTGCTGTGAGTTTTGTTCTAATTTATGTAAATAATTTTTAACAGTGCATTCTTCCAAACTGCAATTATCTCTGGAAAAGGGTTGAGCCTGTTGAGGGCCTTTGTAGAAATGTTTCATAATATTTCCACTTATTTTCCAGTATAAATGATCAATTGAGGTGGATCACTTGCACCATTCATATCAGCTCTGTAATCTGGATTGTGAAACACCATGACGGTTATCATTCTAAACTGCAGCTGGCCAACCCCTCTCATTCTGCTGTGTGCCTTCAAGCTGAGCTGTGTTTCATGACTGTTGTAGAGTGAATTTAAGAAATGGATAATGGTGAATTTACTTGCCTTTTCACTGTGTTTAAATGCTTTGTGAGCCTGAAATAAAAGTGGACCAATAATATATGTAAGCAGACTGCACACCTAGAAAAAGCATTGATATTTGAATACTTTTTCTGCTTATATGTAGGTATTGTCTTTTTATTTAAGTTTAAAATAAGTATCTATTCTGAAAAATGATGCCCAGAAAAGAAAGAATAGGTACTAAACAATGCAAAGCAGTGAGAAACTTTTGACAAAGAAAAATTTTTAGAATGACAAAATTTGCATCACAAGTCATGGTCTATAAACATGCAAAGTTGAGAAAATGCCAATTCAAAGATTATTGCTAAAAGATATGTGAGCAAGAAAAATATCATTTATCATGTTTGTTTAATGTCTGATGTGTATTATGACTTCCTTGCCTTATATTGTGAAACATATCAATGTTTGACTTGACCTGTAAAAGTATCAACAATTTTTTCCAGGGGCCTCCTGGTGTGGGAAAAACAACCACAATTTTGTGCCTTGCACGTGCGCTGCTGGGAGCCAGCTACAGGGAAGCCGTGCTGGAGCTGAATGCTTCTAATGAGCGTGGTATTGATGTCATCAGAAACAAAGTAAAAATGTTTGCACAGCAGAAAGTTACCCTTCCAAAGGGACGGCACAAGATAATCATTCTTGACGAGGCTGACAGGTTGGGTTAACTTTACATTGTTAAATCAATTGATTTTCATTGCTGTACATATCTAATTATGCTGTTTCTTCAGCACTTTTATTGAGGGGAAATTTTTTAAATCAAAAACTTCCATTTTCAGTCTTAAAAATTTGCCATCAGTTTTCTTGTAACTAATCTAAGGTCAAATCGACTAATATGAATAATCTAATAGTTCTTTTCTAGTATCTTAGAGTAACTTCAATGGGCAAGTAATTTTGTTCATGTACATATTGAAATGTTGACACTTGTATCAAGACTAAAAATGAGCTTATTCCAGCATGACTGACGGCGCACAGCAAGCACTACGTCGCACTATGGAGCTCTACTCCAACACAACACGCTTTGCTCTTGCCTGCAACACCTCTGAGAAAATTATTGAGCCCATACAGTCTAGATGTGCCATGTTACGATACTCGAAACTAAGTGATGCTCAGGTGCATGCATAGCCTCTAGTCTTGTATATTAAGCCCATACAGTCACCATTTACTATGTTACAATACTCAAAATTGAGTAATGCTCAGCTTAATTCTAGTCTTGTATACATAATAGTGACTTTATTGTTTATGGAATGGATGAATTTCATAATTAATTATGTACTATTTTGATATCTTTAATTCATATAAATTAATTGATTCAACCGTATGGAATTATAAAAAAATATTATTAGTAATTAATTGGTACGAGTAAAACTACCTATTTAGGAAAATCCTCTGTGATTTAGTGAGCTTGTTTGTTCAAGCTTTAACTTGACTCATGGAAAAAAAGCATTTTAATGAAAAAATTTTCAGATATTGGCTAAGCTGCTTCACGTTTGTGAACTGGAAGGCCTGAGCTACACAGACGAGGGCCTGGAGGCCGTTGTGTTCACCGCTCAGGGGGACATGCGGCAGGCACTCAACAACCTGCAGAGCACCGCTCAGGGCTTCAACCATGTCTCTTCCGAGAACGTCTTCAAGGTAAAACAATTAGATACCTAGCAATTGGACTGTTCATCATCAGTGTTAATGCTGGCAAATCAAATTGACTGAAAAAATATTTTCTTCCATGCATTGGTCATTGCCACAACACAGAACTTTTATGTTAACCAAAAATAAATGTAATAACAGAAACCCAGTGCAGGTTCTGCATAATTAATGTGGTACAAAATGAACACTCAAATAAAAGTGTGTTCATTGTGTATTTGTGTGCATATGTGCTGTGAGCTTGGCTTATGCAAAGTAGGAAGTAATTGGTTGAGTTCATGTTGCATTTGGTTGCAGGTGTGCGACGAGCCTCATCCTGTTATAGTGAAGGAAATGATCTTGCATTGTGTCAACTCTGAGTATGAAAAGGCTTATGAGGTGAGTTGTTGGTGCAATGATGCAATTTTTTATCATGTATTCAGTTATGTGGGACTGACAGTAATCCATTTTCTCTACAAGTGGCTGAAATATTTTTTGTTGAAATGATCAATGTCAAGTACATGTTGGTGCAGATGTACTTTCTTCCTAATTTTTCACCGGTTTGCTATGATGCAGATACTCTCACACCTGTGGCGGTTAGGATACGCTTGCGAAGACATCATTGGCAACATATTTCGTGTGTGCAAGAATACCAGCATGCCGGAGTACCTCAAACTCGAGTTCATCAAGGTAGGTATTATGCCCAACAAAGATTGTTTCTAGAGCCGCTGTTTTCCGATTCATTTAAATGCTATAGCATGTCAGTTTAGTTGCTTGGAAGCCTGTCATTGAAAATACAAGGATAGTCATGTGCGTATACAAAATATATTTTGTGTCTGGATATCAGAATATTCTTGATATCACAATAATCTTGATATCACCAATATCTAAATTTTGACTATGCTGCACTTAAAAAGAATAAAAAAGAATGTCATTACGGTATAGCGAGTCAGAGGCTGTTCTTTAATGCAAATTTTGTTGAAGACCAGAGACAAAGCTTTCAATTTACAAAGCATTGACTTTTCAGAACAACAAAATGACTTTGAGAGCGATTCTAAATTTTAAATTTTGATTTGTATCTATAATACCCAATGTTTGTATATTTGCTATTTCCAATTCTGAATTTATATTTTTTCTGGTGGTGGATGGACGGTGGGTTGAAAACCATTTTATTTGATAACGCTCATTTGAAATTCCCAAATAAAATACCCATCAGAAACCTTATCTGTTCATTTTCAAATCAAAAGCATATCTGCAAAAATAGAAAACAGATACTTGTTCATAAAAGTCACTCTCTGGTCTTCAACAAGAAAATTTTTGACCAAGAATGTTACCGTAGATAAAGCCACTAAATGTATCGTTTTGCCTCAATTTTTTGGTCCGTGAGTGCCAACCCTTAAGAAAAAGCATGCTAAATATATTACTTGCAAAGATTGCTAAACCTTCTAATTTTCGATTAAATGGGCGTTACAGTGCTGTTAGAAAAAAAAATACTATACCGTGTCGTATGTCATTCCGCTCTAATATATGGCTCTAGTGGGATACCATACATTACCTTGGGTACGCAATTGATCACGTAGTAATGCTTCAAACATCTTGTGAATTTCCTATGCATAATGATAATTAGTAAAGTATACCTATTTGTGATACCACTTAAATCATTTAGTAATGAATATTTATACACGTTATCATTTTGTTTGTTTGGCTGTGACGATTGTGTTTGTGATGTGCAGGAGATCGGGTACTGCCACCTGCGCCTGGTTCAGGGCGTGGGGTCCCTGCTGCAGCTATCTGCCCTCTTGGCTACGCTTTGCTCCGTAGCGTTGCCGCCCCAACCCTCATCTAGTTGAGGTCATCTCACCGCCAACTCGTCGCCTCTCAATTTTTAATCATCGCCTAAATTTACCTTTGAAGGATTGCAGAGGTCACATTTGCTCAGGACTCGATTTTAATGTATACAAATTTGTTCGTTGAAGGTATTAGATTTTTATTTCTTCACTAATTGGGTGACCAAACCTATACATTCTCTCATGTTATCAAGATTTATAGATCACCAGAAGTTTAGCAACTTTCGTAAGTATTAGGTCTTCTCATATATTTTCTATCAGTACCTATTGCAACAATTACACAATTTAAAAGAAAAAAACTATATGACCTATCCGTCAGCAATTGACTGTATCACAAATCACGTTCTAAACACAGTCCAGGATAAGCATGAAAATCGCACAATGGACAATTTAATCACAAGTTAGTGTTCAATTACAATTAAAATGATCAGAGTTTTTCCAATGAAGTCTGAATGTTTTCTGCTCGCGTGCGTGATTGGTGACGCGAAATATTGAGACAATGAGACATTTTTTAGTAGTAACTAGTAGAGTAATTAAGTTGCTATCAAACGACTTGGTAAGCGTGCGTGCGGGCAATACAAGCCATGCTCCATGACTCATTTATTTCTTACCTTATCGTTTTAGCTTTTTTTTCATATTCTGATTAGCTTTAAACTTTTCATCCCAAAATTACATGAAAGTAGTATACATGGCAGTATGTAAAAAGGTAAGATGATGGCGAAACCATCCGCTCTAAGAATAATAAAACGCTCGCGTGGCATCAAGGTTTACCTTGGAACTGTGAAAACTTCAAATGAACCAGGTTATCATCGTCACGCTCATCTACTTAAGCGCCGCAAAAGCATTCTCACGTTGAATGCATGTTTATATTACCTACAATCAACTGATAGTACGTCCTTTCACAAATGCAATCAGTATCGCGAGATTAATGTTGCCTGCTGGACAACTTGTAGGTTATGACGTCTTGTCAACTAAATCGGCTGCATAGCACATTTTAATTTATAACAAGCTGCGCTACCCATTAAAATGATCACTTTACTGGATTTTGCACTCACAATGGTAATCAGCACAATACAAGAGAAAATTTTAGAAATTTTGCACGATTTGTGAACAGACCTAATCGAGAAAGAATTTATTGGAAATTAACGGTCGGCGCATACGTGAGCCACAAATTTAATTCTTAAAGTAGCCCTGTAGCCAAAGCCTTGCCTCGCAACGCAATAACTAGTCAGTCTCACGCTGGAACACCGTAAGCGAGACGTGTGACGCACTGCTAGAAAATAATAGCGACGCAAGTCTACAGCCAATGCTTACGCATGCTCGATCATAAGCAGGCAGTTCTGCATCCGGTCCAGCCTCTTCTGGCTGATCTGCTTATACTGACCCGACTTTGCTGCAGCCGAGGGCCGGCTCTCTATCTCCCCGCAGCCCATGAGGAAGTTAGGTTAGGTCCACTCTTGCTAGCTCTTCAGCTACCAAGCTATTTCGCACCGGAGGTCACGAGATAACATCGCCAGCTAGGTGGAAGGTCTCGGTTATTAAAAATCTCAAATTAATCATCATCCACAAGGGGCGGGAGGTCTCAATTGTCCAGCCCGCTGAAGCTGGCTCAAAAGAAGCAGTGTTTGCATCTCAAAGAGACGAAGTGGCAAGGAGGGACAGGTGAAAAGCAACAAAACTAACACTCTCGAACTTACACGGTACGTCGGACGCTCGCACGAGAGAGACAGAGAAGGGAAATATAAGTAATCTTACCTACATAATAACTCCATAGGAGCGCGAAATCCCATAGGACTTCTGACGAGTAAACACGAGTCAGAATTCCCCCCCCCCCGAGACGTCAATGGCTTTATCTTGTGAGGATAAGAAATGACGTCACAATGTCAGTACATTCGAAGTTTACGTGACATCAAATTTGATTCATCACTTATTAAATACTTGCTAAAAATCAAGCAGAAAAAATTGTTTACAAAAAAAAATTATTTCAGCAACAGGCTCTGTACGTAGCGGTAGAAAATAGTGCCTCATGTTATAGAAGAGACGCAATATATTTTGGCCTTGGATAATAGTTCCGTTGCGAAGGCCGTTTATCAGCGTTGAACATCACTGCTGTTTAATGCAAGCACCTGCAACACTTGGCATTAAGACCTGTGGTTTCGTCGCATGGTATACTTGCACCGCAAACTGACATCGCTGGTGCGCCGACACAAAGCATTGCTTCAATAATTCCATGAAAAGGAAGCTATCATTGAATAAGTTGTTATTTAATTATGCTTCTTTCTTTGAGGTGATTTAATTCACATTATTGACATTAAGTAGTATACTTTACCATTCAACTCGCTTTCTGAGAGGCCTGTTCTATTTATGTTCAACTGTACATCATGAAGTACGTTTGCAAATTTACCCAGAAAATTCACACAGACTAAGCAGGAAAAAAATTAGACACAATTGCAATACGTACTACACAGAATATCATGATTCTCTTTGTAGGAACACCTTACTGTGCGCTTCTGACGAGCATTGATGGGAAATTAATCTAAGTACAACATTATTTTAATGATTAATTTTAGGAAACGAAAATATCGTACTTTGTCGCAGAAGAAAACATTAAAAATTGTGTATTAACACATAGACCTGAACATAGAACGCCCATATATTTGATATCTGGAGAGCGCAAAGCATTGTTTTGAAAGCAAAGAACTGTAAATTTGGCTAAAATAACGGACTGGTAATACATTTCATTTGATGGAAATTGGTAAAAATAAAGTATTACCTTTATTGCCGTTTTTTTTATGCGAGGACCTCTGATTAGAGAACCCAATCCCCTGCCAGTGACACGTGGAGCAGAACATACGATGAGAAGTTCGAGGATCCCTGCCTTCTGACTCAAACGAAACATATCCCAGAGAATATTCTGCATATTTAAAAAGAAACAATTCTTCTCTTTACGTAAAGAACATAGGTCAGGAATTATTTAAATGCAGGCAAAAGCCTATTTAAATGCTGATAAAATATGCAAGTTTAAAGGAATTCGTTTCCAAGTATTGAAAAACTTATGGTTTACGTACAGCGGAGAATACAAACGTTTCGACACGGTTACATTGGTGTCACATCACTGAACAATTATTGCAGGCCATTGTATGCACATTGTGCACAATGGCACGGTGCGATATGCCTCGTGCACCGACTTGAATATATTAGAGAACATAGCTTCTCGCTATGCATTCATTCATCATATTATCACCATCATCGTCAGTTAACTCGAGCAAATTCATCTTAGTTAATTAAGTTCAAGTTAAGCATTTAAAATAAAGATCACATCATGAATCACACATCACGTGATGACTGTATGAAATTAAGTGTATAATTGATCTCAAGTAAAGTCCAACGCAACTAACATGACGCGTTAAGGAGAATATCTAAGGTCTACTTGCAAGGCTCTAGCGCTGAGACCTACAGATGTAGAACGCCATCATCTGGAGAGGCATTCACAATATCTAATATGAACATAGTGCAGGTAGTAACAAGAAAACTCGTTACTCCCTAACATCTAATTGTAAAACTCTATCTACATTAACAATAAACCATTCATACTTCCATCCCTTGCTATCCACAGTACACGCGGCTACAACAAATGCCATACCTGGCAGCTATACAATCAAAATATCAACAAATCTCAAATAAGCTCGTCCACGAAGAGAGCCAGTGCTGCATTAGCACAACTATTATTCATCGAAATCTAATGGCTACAGTGGCAATACACCCAACACATATTTTATTCTCAGTATCCTTCAATAACAAAATGATGAGGTCGCTTGTGAGTTTTATTGTTCCATACAGCAGAAGCTCAGTAAAGCTTGAAAATATATTTTAAATTCACATCAACAAGCCCTTTACTAAAACGAATCTTATGAGGCATAATCACTAACAGACCGGTCGGAAATCCCAAGCCTGATACATAGAACATTTCGCTAAATGTTTGAACTGAGACCACTTTCCTCGCTCGTTTACCGTGCGATGTTTTCACGGCTGTGATATAATGACAATTCAGGATATTACCATAACACGCTATAGATGAACAACATAATGTGTCTGCGCTTATACGATAAAACAGGGTGATGGGAAAAACGCAAAAAGAATTTAATAATCATTTACGAATAATCAGGGGTCATTTGTATCCTCAGAGGCAGAGATATGTTTTCGCAGCATAAGAAGCTAATGCAGGGTACAGGTAGTTAAAAGCTAGGGTGTTAAGATATATGCAGTGTTGACTGTTTGACAGCACACCTGGCGAGTGAACGTACGCAAGTAATCGGTTTTTGGGAGTCCTGAAGCATACAAGTCGTGAAGATAAAGTTAAGCAGTTCGTTCTCATAAATAGAGAAGATCCAAAACAACACTTGATATTGACATACTCGGGTGCTGTAACATATAAGTGGACTATAAATGCTAACAAAAGAAGATGAAGAGCTGTAATTCACCAGCTCTCTTCGCACTACAGCCCCTTGTTGATAAATGCGTTCTTCAAATTACGAACAAGTGAAGATGAAAAAGGAACTATCTCCCTTATAACTTAGGTGCGATCTCTAAAGAATTATTATTTTAGGCGATAAATAAAAGAGCATGGAAATGTTAGCAACATATCACATAGTTTTCTTTGGTCCAATTAACCAGCGCGCAAGAAGATTCAGCACAACAAATGAACTTGCACGATTTGACCTTAAAACGATCAGATATGTAGAGGTAGAAACTAACTTTCTTAACAGAACCATGGAGTTGAACCATAGATTAAGTTAAGAACCATGGAGTAAGATTAAGAACCATGGAGTTGAACCATAGATTTAGTTTCAGAAATGAACAGACCGATACGAGAGACCAATGCTGAAGATATCGGCGAGTCATCGGTACACTCTTCGCTAAAAGCAGATGGACGGTCATGACGTTATAGAGTTTCGATTGCTCTGCATTTACAAAATCAGTAATTTTATTTAAATTTGATGTAAAAGACAAGTTTTCGACCGTGAAACGGTTATTCTGGAAATGAATCTTTCGATAAACTTCAAATACTGCGATGTTGTTTCATATACAAATCTAAGAACTTTATTTGGTGCACAGTGGATGTTCATAAAAGACGCAGGATAGTATAACGATTGGAAATTAGATTGTTTCAACAACAGAAACGTATAAACTAACAGTAGGCAAGAACATAAGCAAACCTACTGAAATACGCGCACAAGATTAGCTAAAAATTCACGTTTACTTCTTCCGTGTGAATCAAACGGAAGAATCAAGAGTTGACCGTTTTAGTCAAGCACAAATAAAATCTAAATGGATCAATCAACTTGGTAATTAAATTAGACCATTTCAATATGATTTTCGTTGAACCCATGATAAACTATTTTCAAAGTTTCGAGTAACTCGATTATTTGCCTCACAACGAGGAGATAAAAATGTTTGTTGCTACCAGTTAAAACGTTACTTCATTAAGTACAATTCATATCTGACAGATCTTACGACGAGAACCTTCTCTAAACACCAGCATTCCTCTCTTCCAAGCAAACGTTAGTTGGGAACAACATAGGTATTAAAGCCAATTGCTTCTAACTCGCGATGAAGATCTCAATTACATGATAGATCATAATGAGCGGACAGACGCATAAGAATCTAAAAAATGCGTAAAAATTGTAGGAATTGTTGCATTTACAAATATTTAAAGGTTTACAGTTATTGTTGTAAGTTAAATAACTTTGCTGTCATACAGCGCTGTCAGTCAGTTAAACCAGGACCATGAAGTGCAAGTCTTTTTAATTAGAGAAAAATATTATTTTACATTACTATGTTGTTATTCCTTCAAAAGACAAGAACTTCTAAATAAAGAAGGCAGACGCTTATCATGCTCCACAAAGTTTGGCCATGAAACAAGGCAAAGTCACAAGCAAGAAAGGTATATAAATCAGGTTTAAATAATAAATTTAGCGATCAAAATACAATATGCAATGAAAATACTATATTCTTTAAAACAAAGGCAGACAAAACTACACGAGGGAGAACGTTAATGCGTCGCGTGACTGCCTGTCCAAGCCGCGCACTTCGTCGCCTAGTCTTGGAGCTTCCAAGTAATGGACTCGGAAGAAATAATTGTTCAAATGCTAGATAAGAATAGGAAAAAATGCGCATTTCGCTTCTATAAAATATTGATTTTCGACTAGCATAAAATAATGGCTATTAACTACGCTGTTGTGAATAGCAACTTAAAGGCCAGAGAAAAGTCTGAAGGGGAAATGGAAAGCAATAGAAAATCCAGGCGGTTGAAAAAGGTCACGAAGTAGTCAGCAACATAACAAAACAATGTAGGAATACGCAGACGAGATAGCCTGAGTAGCTACGTATGTGGACACAATGTAGAAGAGATGGCGTAGCGCAAACTCCAGAGGGTCGTGAACAAGAACATTGCCTGGAAGTTTGCCAAGATCAGGGCGATGTTCGCTTTCTGGTGAAGAATGCAATTTATAGGAAGGAGATATCAAACTTTGCGGCCTGTCCGGATACGAGGAATTGCATGAAGGGTTCAGAGATTTGCTATTTCGGTGAACGAGCTTCGGGGATTCTGACGTATCCGAGGGCGGACTGGATAGCTTTGAATGCTCAGACTCAACACACGAGTGTTGAAAGCTATTAATATTCTTTACATTTACAAGCAAGTCAGTTTCTTCTCCTCCATTAGGCAGATTGGAACTGCAAATGGGCGCGGCAAGCCGGGCGTGAACAGAGGTAATTACATTGGATGTGGGAGCCGCGTCACTACTACACATTGAGTCATGAGTCCGGTCCTTAACACTAGAAGAATTCTTTAAGTTATCACTTGATTCACTAACATTACCCACGCCAGGAGCACTTGGCGAGACCGTTCCCTCACTCATATCCTTAATTTGAGAACTGGACGACTCACCGATAATCTTTTCTTTTGATGTGACACTGTCCAGCAGGTTATAGATATTGTCAGTATTAGCAGACGTGATAACCTCGTCTGCAGTGAGAGTTTCAACACTGGAGCCGTTATCAACTGCTCCTGAATTACTGCTTGTGTCGTCTAATGAATTAACTTTAATTTTATTTTGTGACTCGGCAACTGAGGTACTGTTTGCAGACAATGCAGCACTCGGAGCAAGCCCCACAGGCGAGGCTTGGAGAGACACGGACAGCGGCAGAGGTGGCGGCACAGGGAACTTGTCAGAAGGGGAGTCAGGAAAAACGCCAGTCGCATAAAATTCGCTCAGCATTTGCTCCTTCTCGATGTAACGATCGTACAGCCAAGCGGTGAGCGCAGTCTCGTCTCGGGGCACCTGTAAAAATCAGTGTCAACACTGGTATTGTCATCAGTCGAACAAGCAGCGTAGATGAAAATTTGGATCGGGCTAGCGCCCAGGTTGAAAAAATTCTTGTAGGAAAACAGGAAAAACGAGAAAATGATATTTAAAAAACAGATTGAGTTGAATTATTTTATATTGAGGGAATTTCTCACGTGCATTCGAAGTAAACTTTCAAATACTCGTAGGTAAGAATTTTATAGATCCATTTTTTTTTCAAGAATCAAGCGTGAGGTTGACACTGCGCCTCATGGATATTAACCCTGAAAAGCTTATGTGGATGGCTGGTAAGAATAGCATGCATTAATGTTACCGACGCAGGACGACTGTAGCAGCGAACTCACGTGCCGGGCGTCGTAGCAGCGGTAGTGCATAACCACGGCGCACGGCGGACGGTGAGCGGCGATAAGCGCCTGCAGGTTGAGCGGGTCACCCCCAGGGTAGCCCACGGTCACGTCCACAATCCACTTAATTCCTGCAAATATTTCACTTGAGGTGTGGCGTTATGGCGGGAATATCATCATTGATGCCATCCGTTCTGTCTCACGCTAGAGTGACAGAGATGAATAGTAAACAAAATTTATTTCAATAATTAATAGCTGACCGTACAATAGCAGCAGATCGAAAGAAACTTTTTAACAAAGACTGTCATTTACGGGATGACCTGTTTAATGATCCTAGGGGCAATAAACTGAGAAATTGTCTACGTGAAAAGCATTCTATAAAGAATGAAAAAAAAATTACTGAAAGGCTCTCGATTTTATTTATAGGATGCAAGGGACTACACCATTCACTCAGAGGACATTACCTACAAACCAGAATTGTAATAAAGAGCCTGAAACTTATAGGTAACACGAAAAAAAAAATAAAATCAACATGCCTTTACCACAGCTTGGAATAAAGTCTAGTTAGGTAATTTGTGAGCATTATTTTACCCTGGTCGCCATGATGATGAGAGTGGTCGAGAATGGCTTTCAGGGCTCCGGAGCGAGGCAGGGACACGTTCTGCAGGTGCGGTAGTCTCAATTTTTGTCCGTACCTTAAAGATGAAATTAGAAATATGTTAGTGCTAATAAAACTTGCTAATTTTCAGTAAACCTATAAGGAACAGCAACAATTAAAGGTATAATATCAGCACGGCATGATGCATGATACAGTACAGAAAATTTACATGTAATCCAGATAAGTGTAAACAAAAAGCTGCTTTAAATATATTGTCATTTAGTCTATGCACATAAGTGCAATGCAAATTCAATTCCTAAACGAAGTGCCATGACTAGGTTTAATTCCGGTCACATTCCTCATTAACATTGGTTGAAGAACAGCAGCAGTCATATCAACAACAGAAAAGGCTTATTACCAAACTATAGAACAATAATCCCGTAGAAATTATTGAAACCGCAGCGTTCTCAAGTAAATAAGGTACTGCATCACACTACGATGAACAATTTCATCTCAGCCAGCTCATGAAAAGAATTTAATAGCAATGAATATGCCAAGAAAATTCAACATACTTTCAATGAAAAAGTATTGAAGACAAGCTACAAGTAAAATAAATTGCTATCACCAAGTTTACACGGCAGAGATTAAATCGTAACAAGTACGTGTTTTCTATAAATCCCAATAAGATATATGAACTGACAAAAACTTGCTAATTTTAAAACGAAAACATTGTTTAACAGACAACAAACAGTTCTCATATGTTTGAAGTTGATATAGGATATTTTTTGAAGATAAGATCTCCAGTGTGTAGATTTGGTCGCAGCAATTAATTATATGTACGTACCTAAGTTATTGAATTGGCGATGGAGCAGGTTTCTAAAACAATTATGTCAAAAATATTGTGAATTCACCTGCCATTTTTTTTGCTAAGTTCTTTGTTAAATTGCACATCAAGCGCGCATTTGTGTTTGATCACAAAAGAATAGTTTCCAATAGTGTTTGAGAAAAATCCTCATCCGTTGACAACGCAATAAGGACAAATACCAGGGGCCATACTTTCAAAATTCGCTAAGTGAACGTAAGTACTTACGCTCTATATTCTTGTCTATGATTGGTGGATTTGGCTTGAACCGTCAATGATTTGCTGATGAACTTACGATCTCCTAACTTTTTTGAAAGTATAGGCCCAGCAAAACTCGCTAAGTGAACGTAAGTACTTACGCTCTATTTTCTTGTCTATGATTGGTGGATTTTGCTTGAAAGGCCGTCAATGATTGGGTGATGTACTTACGATCTCTTAACTTTTTTTAAAAGTATAGGCCCAGGCTAATAAACATGTCTTGCATAAGTGCGGCAGGAAGACTCCCTCTACATTAATAACTGCTCCTTACTTCTGGCTGATAGGTTTCCTCTTGATGAGGAAGCCACCCTCAGGAAACAAGACGATCCACTTGCGGTTCATGGGTTGGTAGAAGCTAGACAAATGATGACGTAGAGCCAAGAGGGACGAGTCGCGATGTGTCTTTCCCTGCGCAATGGGAAGCGCTTAGATAAATATGTTACGTGCTGCTCAACAAAATATTAGAGCTAAATTCGCATCATTCTACTAAGTAATTATTTTGGGCTTTGGAATAACGTTCTACAATGTTGAATACTGATATAAAATGAGAACACTAGGATAATATAAAAAAAATTGCAAGTGAGACGATGGTCTACATATACCTACACGTATTCTGTAAATTTGCACGAGTTTTCCAGTACAACTGTGCAAGATTTATAATGCAAAGAATTTACTGAACTAATTGCTGTAATTAAACATGTTTAATACTCTGTTGAGTTTATTAGTTATAATAAGTATAATAAGTAATAGAGAACGAATTTCACAATTTGAGTCCCTGATTGAAGGCTCTATTATTAACACTTGAACATGTTTGATCACTAAACAAAAAGAAGTCCTCAGTTTCAAACACTTACAGCTCTGATGAAGAAGTCTCCATGCATGAGCGACACAACACCAAAGTTCGTAAGCCTAAAGACTCTGTCCATGATCCACATGACGTTGGCGCACGAGAAGCTCGGCCGTGAGTTGAAAGCAGCCATGATGAGCGGCACGTCTGAAGTTGACTGATGGTTGTACATGACGACCGTGCGGTCCTGGCTCAGCTTCCACACCTGATAATTGGAATTGTTATGTGCATGTATGGACGGATGTTGAGTGGGAGTGCATGACAAACAATAAATAAGCAGCCATGATGGGCGGCACGTCTGATGTTGACTGATGGTTGTACATGACGACCGTGCGGTCCTGGCTCAGCTTCCACACCTGACAATTGGTATTGTAATGTAAATGTATGGACTGATGTTGAGTGGGAGTGCATGACAAACAATAAATAATTGATAGAGAAACTTATATTGCGACTAGGTTGCATATGGTATGAGGTGGAACATGTAGCTGACAAATAATATTTTAGGGCTAAATACAAGGAAGGAAATTTCTTGAAGCATAACATAAGGGATTAGTGTCTTGCACTCCTGCATACTACAAGACTTATTTTATTATCGGAGTAATCAGTTGCAGTGACATAATGAAGAAAATAAGGAGGAAAGAATAATTAGAATCAATAAGACCACAAACAGTGCAGAGAAAACATGGGACCAGTAACAATAATTTTGCAAGCATACAAACATGAAAACTTGAAATCATGCTGAAGCAGAGGAATATTAATGGTAAATAGTACAAATATACAAGGGAAGTAACTTTAAGAAAAAGAATATAAGCACGTAACACAAAGCAGAGCAAATTTTGCATCCATTTCTTAAGTTGATATATTTTCAACAGTCTGAAATATGAAAACTTACAGAACTTCAACTTACATCATCTCCAAGTTCCACAATGTCATACCCTGCAGAATATGACCACATGGCAACCATGGACAGCAGCCACCTGTAGGACAATGGATTTATATTGTTTCATCATCTTCTGATAACCCAAGAAGGCTGCTCATAAGTCACATTCAAGGCATAATGTTTATAACATATGCAAGCTGCTGAATATTGTTGAACCTAATTCAAGGAAAACATCATTGGTATTTCAAATATAACATTTGTTTATCAAGTAAAGGTTTGTAGTTAGGTCGGAGGAAAGTCAAATGGACAAATAACAAAACCCTTCAAAATGGAAAATGCCTAAATTAGGAATTTATTCAGGACTATTATAAACCCAAAATTGAATAGTATCCTCTCAACAACAATATATTTCAGAATTTATTTTACTACATTACAGAATATCTACCTGAAAAAAGTGCCCTCAAGCTTCCAATAGAGACTTGGACAGACAAGTCGTAGAGGCTGCAGTAGAAGCAGCCACAGGAGATGCACGGGAATGCAATAGAGGTTGTTAACAATAACAAACAGGATCCGTATTATAGCCACCACCATCTGCTGCATTCTGCAAGGTGAGAAAACATCAGGTACAGGAGGTTTCCTAACAAATTGAATATCAACTCTTACAAGTAACAGAATTCAAGAGACATAAATTAGATTATTTTTACATTGGTTCATAGATAGAGTTGTGAAGTGCAACAATTTTCAAGGACAGCATATGCTCAATATCATGGCATGTCTGCTTGAAAAAGCATTCTTCTGAAAAAAAAAAAAATTAACAATAAAACGAGATAAAAACCATCACCGTGTTAGCTATTTGAATCAGTCATATATTTAAATGGAACAAACGAGCAATCAATAAAGACTATAAAATTATTTACTTGTGGGGAGAGTTCCTTGGTTGTGGGTGATTCTCATCACTTCTCTGTCCATTGCACATGTTGGCTTTTGAAAGAAGATAGTTGCAGAACAAGACCAAACAGCAGCTACAGTACTTTTGTAAAGATCAGCTGCAGTACCTCTAAGTGAACGGTTCACAATCTTCACTCAAGAAATAGTCATTTATTTCAGCCAGAAATCAGCATACACTATTAAAAACAGACGTTTAATATTTAAAATGCTATAACAATTAACATTTCAACAAGTACCGTAATATATAATAATTTGGTCAATCTGATGACTAGTGAACATATTCAGTAATTTAGCTCACTATTTTACTGAATGTTGGATGCCCTAAAATGTAAATTACAAAGTTTCAGGCTGTGATTGCAGTTGCATATCTGATTTCATTCTGGTGAAACAAGCAATTCCATATTGTTAATCTCCGTAGGACTGCAACTAAGCACTACACAAAACAAGCTTACAAACAATTACCTTATAAGTTTCATGTCAAAAACATTTAATGCATTAAAGAATAGGAATAATAGTTCCAAAACTAGTTCCAGGTTTAAGGTTATATATATATAATCAAAATCTTGAAATTGAAAGTTAATAGAAAGAATATTCTATGACAGCTATTGATGATCTTCAGCAATTGTTAAAATGAAGATCTACCAGTATACCATAACCCAGTGCAAGAGGATGTTTAAGAAAGGAATGAATATTAATTAAGTTGACCAAACAGGGAACTTTTAGCAATCAAATTGGTAATGGTTATGTATAAATTTTACCTGGAACACCATTGTACAAATTGAATCAGTTTAATCAAGAGTTTATAAAATAAATTTTAATTTATTCAATAAAGACAAATCCAGTATTTTATATGTATATATTTCAGAAAGGTTGAATGGAGCTCCAAATAGAGAAAAAAATATATTTACAAATTCACAATCTATTTTTAAATTGAATTTGCATCAGGCAAGTTAATTGTCACTTTTCCAATAGATTATTATCCACCATATATTTAGACCATAAATTGTAACCAATGTTAATGTATTATTGGTATATAACATCAGCAGCCAGCATAGCACAGAATGGCATTTTAAAGGAAGGGGAATCCAAGGAAATTATTCTTATTGATGGTATTTTAGCATGGCAGGAGAAGTGAAATGCTTGTCCTCAACTTATGTTGCAGCTTGCTATGCTGTCAATCAATTTGAAAGCCATATCCTGAAAGTTTGGCCATGAATGCTGGAATTTATATACATACCGTACATTAGTTGAAATTGAGACAACTTGTACCAAGTGGCTTGCATTACATTTTTTCAAAAAGATTGGATATTCTTGAGCACAGGAGTGAAAGACTGAAGATTTAAGGATTTGAAAACTATCAGTGAGATTAGTAACATACCATCAAACGGGGCAATAAGGGACGGTTTTGAGCATTTTTATTAACTTTTTACCATGAAACATTTCATAAACAAGTTTGGGCTCATTTTATAGCACTTTGCAAGGGCTATCATATGGCATCTTAAAAAAAATTAAAAATTCATATGCTATTCATAAGGTGCCAGATGCAAAATACAAGTGTCCTGAATTACCCCTGGAAACGGGGTAATCCAGGACACTTGAAATAAACCTTAATTTTAAAAAGTTTGAAGCATGCAATGTGTACTTGTCTATTACTAACAGTAATCTGAAATCCTCCTTTTCCCTTGTTAGATGAAGTAGATGTAGAGTAAATGACATTTTCTATGATTTTTAATTGCTTTTTCTTTATTGATATGATATTACCATATCCAAACAATATACTGTATTATTGGCATGATATTACCATATCTATGAACATGCCATTGAGCATTTACAATGACCTTGTCCACTGCAAGCTTTATATCAGCAGCTGTATAGCACTTTTCTGTATCTGCAAGCTTACAGGACAGCTTGTAATTTCACACCATTTTAATTGGGTCAAGTGAATTCATTATAACAAAAAAAGATTGTAAAACCATATATATACATGAAACAGAAAGTAATATTCTAGTGACAACCATCATATTTCTTAGAGAAATAAATCATACTTTAGGTTAATTACTTTTCATTTTATGTTGCCTGGTGAACAATACTATCTATGACATTCTATACACAATTTTGTAATGACCATTGATGCATTAATTTTTCTTCAAGTGAAATTTTTTTTGCTGAGCAAGGTTAATATAATCAAAATTTTTGTTATTAATTGATTTCTTAATTAACTGGAGCCTTTGTTAATCAAGGTTTTACTGTAAATGCATTTTTAGGGGTGTCCCTATTACCCCGTCCTGCGCAAATGGAAGCCTCTTTATTGGAATGACATATGAGAATTCCATCAATCACTTTTTTAAGCCAACACGGCAACACATGTGTGCAACTTTTATGTAAGCAAAATTTTTGATATGGCAAATATTTTTTTAGCTACAGACCTTAGCAGAGGTACGTTTCTAAAATCTCACTTTTCACACTTCTTTTCAGGAATTTTTTAGAGGTACTGGTAGTAAATGTATGATTTCTTAACTTACTAGTATATGCTACATACATAGTAAAAATGCTGAACTTCATGTCCCTATTTTTACTTTTACAAAATTTTGATTAGTTTAGCTGCTACAACACTTCTACAAAATGTGGGACGAATGTCCCGATTTACCCCGCCATCACTTATTACCCCGTTTGATGGTAGCACAGTCGACAAATTCTATATAAACTGCTTTATAGTTTTAATGATTAAGACACCAAGTATTGCTTACTGTTATTAACAGGGCATTACTGAGCATCGTCCAAGGTAGAGATACACGAGATGAGTGCACTAGTTTATCATGTCAATGTCATAGATAAAAAAACATCACCAAACTAATAAACAAAAAACTTTGAAGCCAACAACCTAATAAATAATTGGTTACTCCAGAACTGTGCAGAAAAAAATCTTGGAGAATTGAGACTGAAAATAGACTAACAAAAAATATATATCCAGATCAATATATATACATACACACATATTTGGCAAAAGTTCATTGAAGAAAATATTCAGTTTTTAATAGTCTGTGACTGCATGACCAGTGTCCAGTATTCAATTTATGCATGCATCATTTAAGAAGTTTACCTAAAACTTTTAATTTAGGCTTACTAGTTTAGACATTGGTCCTTGCTGCAATCAGTGGCCTGAAGGGCTGATAAGATATCTACCATCAATGACAACACAAGTGGCCACTCTACTTATGATGCTGGTTTCCTACTGAAACAACCTATGTCATTAACCAAGTATAATAATAACTCCATAGTAAGACATGAAAGGCTTTTTTATTGTTTAGAAACATTCAAAAACACACACAAAAAATCTATTTTTGCTTTGTTTCACCGTGTATGTGGAGCACTTCTCCTTCAGCCAAGAATAGATTTTTGTAGCCATGAGTTTGGCTTGAAAAATTGTTAAGCATTGCATTTGTTTTTTTAAAGAAGGAATCTATATTCTTAGTATTTTCTTTTTTCGAAACAGTTTTCAAACCGATAAATTATAAATATACCGTCAAATGGGGTAAAAAGGGACAGGCGTCCCACAGGCGTCCCACGACGCGCGTCCCACATTTCATAGAAATGTAGCAGCAGCTAAACTAATCAAAATATTGCAAAACTAAAAATAGTGGTGCAAACTTCAACATTTTTACTATCTATTATGTATAAAGCTAGTCAAGAAATAAAACATTTACTATCTCAAAAAAATCGTTGAAAAAAAGTGTGAAAAGTGCGATTTTGGAAAAGTACCGGTACCTCTGCTAAGGTCTGGAGCAAAAAAAAATATTCATGGTATTAAAAAATTTTACTTACATAAAAGTTGCACCCAGGTGTCGGCTTGAAAATGTAATTGACAGAATTTGCCTATCTCATTAAAAAAAAAAAATGGCAGCCATTTCCACGTGATGGGGTAAAAAGGGACACCCCCCGGGGTAATTAGGGACACCCTTAAAAATGCATTTACAGTAGAACCTCAGTTAGCAAAGGCTCCAGTTAACAAAAAAATTGATTAACAAGTGATGCTATAGATAGAACGATGGTCAGATAATTAGTGATTGACTGAGGCATTATAAGGATGCCTCAAAAACAAACAGGAAGCCGTGGCGAGGCTTTTTGTGACGCGATTTCAAGTGATCATATATGGTAACTTACCCGTGAAAGGGTTACAATTTCTAGTGAATCTGCAATTCAAGTAATCAAGTGAGTGAAGTGACATTATTAAGAGCTTTCTTATGACACAAAAATTTTTGAAATTGGCTCATACCTCATAGGAAACCTACATAGAAATGATGAAATGTTTTTCCAAAAAGGGTTTTAAAAATTTAATGTTTTTTTAAATGCAAAAAATATTCATTTTTGGGACATAATTAATTAGGGAAAAAATTCATAGCTTTTTCACTCCTATTCTTCTTTATGCAGTACCTGCCTGGTGCCGCTGAGTGGCAACTGGCCGCAGGTGACTTAAGGGGCAAAAAAAAAAATACATAGGAGTTGAGCCAAAGCAGGAGCCATCCTGAGCTTGGCTATAGCAGAGGCTTTAAAGCGCAAACCTGAGCCTGTTTAAAGCTTTATACGCCTAGTGGCAATAGGCAAAGCAGAGAGGTTTTTAGACACTCCTTCAAATCTTCAATCAGTATTTAGTTCAATGCTTCAAGTTCAATTTCAAGTCCTATAAGTAGGCCAGCTGCCAGCAAAGTAGCCTAAGTAGGTATCATGGAAAGTTGGAAACCAGCATCATCATTTATCATTACATAAGATATTGGTTAAATCTTGAGTAGTACTGTAGTTAACATAGTGGCAAACCAGTGATTTTTTAGAATCTGCTCATTTTCAATTTCCTCATTTACTCCAGATTTCAACAGATTTCTTATGTATGAAAATTCTGGTACCTATCCAAGATACTTCACTGGTCTACTTATAGGACTCAAAAATGAACTTGAGGAAGAGTCTAAAAAACTCTCTGCTTTGCCACTACCTATGCTGTACTGAGTGTACTCTGTAGCATAGTGGCAAAGCAGAGAGTTTTCTAGACTCCCTCAAGTTCATTTTTGAGTCCTATATGTAGTGTAGACCAGTAAAGTATCATGGATACCAGCATTATCTTACAACTTACATAAGAAATTGGTTCAAGTCTTGAGTAAATGAGGAAATTAAAAATGATCTGATTCTAAAAAATCTCTGGTTTGTCACTATGCTCTGTAGTAGTACCTAAATGAGAAAATTGAAAATGAACTGATTCTAAAAAAATCACTATTTGCTTTGCCACAATCATAGTCAATTTTATTAATCAGTTGACGTCGGATAATTAATGCTACTAACTGTACTAAGTACTAACTCAACAATCGCTGATTACATTTACACTGAGGACTGAGAT